AGCCTATGCTTATCACATGCCACCAGAGGAGAAAGATAGAGCCATGTCTTGTTTCCTTTCCATATGTTAGTATTCTGGGGTCCTGTTCTACCTTCTAGACATACCCTTTCTAGATGCTCATCTGTGACTGAATCCCTGCCATTCTTGATGGGTTTCAATTAGTAATACGATAATACATATTAGTAAGAGCTAATGATCAGTTTGTCTCAAGATAATACTTTTTATTCAATGTGCATAATATTCAACTCAGTTCCAATACCTAAAAGGCTGTTTCAATAGGTCTGGGGTAAATTCCAAGAATCAGTACTTTGCAACCTGGGCTGTTCTTGATTTGTGATGTAGATGGTTCCTGTGCAAAGTAAACTGCCTTAAGGAATAAAGATGTTCTAATGCCACAGAGAAGTAAAGATTGGAAGAAGGTATATTTGAAAGTAAGAAGGTGCTCGAGCGATATGACAGAGTGGTCACCCTATTCTACTTTTGCATAAAACCCATAGACAACTGACACCATCTTTCAGTTTTCAGTTGAATGCAGTAAACAACAGGCTCTCCTGAAAGAATGTCCTGGGCCCAAATCTTGGCTCAACCAAATGCTGTATGGTCTGTAGACATTATTTAGTCTCACTGAGAATCACTGTCCAAACTTTAAAATATTTCTCATATACTATAAGCACAGAATTCCTCTCCCTATACATATATACGTAAATGCATTTGTATATGTCTTCATGTGTATGTATATTTCATATGTATGTGCATGGATCACAGCATTTCTCCTATGGCATTGTTCATGTTGAATGCATTCCAGTCAGTAATGTATAACCCCTGGCCTAAGTAAAGAGTGAATTTTAAATTATAGTTTGTCATTTGTCTTAACAGTTCTATATGTGGCTATCAAAATATAATGCTTCTCATATTTAACAAGAACATTTTCATAGTACAATAAACAAATCTATTCATAAAAAAGACACACTTGAAACACCTGCCTCAGTGTTTTTGATGGTTAACTGAGATGAAATGGGATCTGCACAGCTTCACGAAGATGGCAAAGGCCCCATAAATATGAGCTATCATTTTTTCTAGGTCCATATGTGTGTCATCTGTGTTTTATAATTCAAGTTTCACCTTTTCAGATTTTTGAAAATTAACACAGAGCATTACTGTTTATTATATAACATTTCCTGCAGTATCTGGGGAAACATCCCGTAATTAAGCCATTAAAATTTCAGCAGGAAAAATATCTGAATATTCATACTGAATTGGATATAGATGAAATTCATGTCAAATCAGGTCAAGTTTTGCTGCTAACTGGGTTGTAGCAACAAATTAATGAAAAATTGACTTACATCTCATAAACCTCTTTGATTTCAGAATTGAAATAAGAAGGGATTGTGGACCTCCAGTAAATCCTTTTTTAATTTGAACGATATGATTATAACTTTTACTTTATGTCTTTGCCTTTTGCTCTTCCCTTCTATCTATGCAATTTCATATCTATGTGAGGGCTCTTGATTCTATACAGAATTATGTATTCAAGGTGGCTTAGCATTTAATTTTCCTAATTATGTATCGGGGGTGAAACACTTGGTAAAATTAAAAGTATTAGCCCCCATGCAAATCATACAATGCCACTGTGGCATACTCATTCCCACAGAGAAAATCTACCTGGTCATTTCAGTTGGGAAATTACTTTTTCCTGAGGTCACTGAACTTCTATTGGATTGCCCACAGGAGATGCTATTGCAAAGACTGCCAGTCTGAAGGATCTAGCTTTAAAGAGCCAAAGCAGAAACAAAGCAACAACCTCAAATGCATATGTTTTGGAGCATGAGACTAGTGTGGCTGGACAGATGTAATGCAAAACTACATAGATATTAGTTTTTTGTTAACATGGACATGTTTCATCTATGACTACCATAACAACCAATAGTTGTAGTAAATTGTTATAAGCTGTTTTGTTTATATTCACTTGGCTCAAAATTATAGTTAATAGTTTCCCTGAACACAAAATTCCTTTCTAAAACCCCTTTTGAGGGCAAATTTGAAGAAATCCCTTGTTATTTATGAGATCTAGAGTGTCCCTCAAAAGCACATGCATTGAGGCTTTGTTTTTCAGCTTGGCTTAAGTAGAAGGTGATGGGACCCTTAAGAAGTAGGGCTTACAGCCCAGGTCACCAATGCAAGTTTTCAAGGGCATACTGGGTTCAAGGTCCATTCTTTATTACTGTTTTCATATCCTGGTCTCTCTTAGTATTTAGGCATCCGTACTGGCTTGCCTTTGGAGTTCTGACAGGATATGCCCTCAGCTGTTGCCAATAAGAGCACCACCTGTGCCTATTCACTATGTTCTCTTTTAAACCCTACCTATCCCCCTCCCATCCTTCTCTCCCTCCCTCCCTCCCTTTCCTCTCTCCTGCTGCCAGTCTCCCCCTCCCCCTTCCCCCTTTTTACGATCCTTTCCCCCTAATAAACCCCTCTGCTTGAACTCTGTCACATACATGGTGTATTTATTTTGTGTGCTGCTTTTAAAAATGATAACATATTAAAATGGGCTTCTACCCTGCCAAAAGTTCCAAGCAA